GCCCCCAGTTCAGCCCAGCGCCTCACAGCCCCGGACCCCACTACAGCCCAGTGTCCTCAGTTCAGACCACCCATACCCAGCACTCCCAAGCAGAGGACTTGTTCAGCCCAGCACCTCACACCCCCCCACACCCAGCACTCCCCTCAATCAGCCCAGTGTCCCCAGTTCAGACCAGTACTTCCCATGCCCATGGACACCACTCCCCGTTCCTGGCACCCCCAGTTCATTCCAGTGCTTTACCCACCCACAGCCAGCTTGGCCCAGTGCCCCCAGCATGGCCCAGCACCCCCAGTTCAGCCGCGCACCCAGCCTGTGTGTGGTGGCCCCCCAAGTCCCCCAGCCATGGTGCTGGCCCTGGAGCCCTCATGCAGGGGCTGCCGGAGGCATGGGCCGCCCGTTCCCGTTTCTTTCCATTGGCCTCTTTGGGTCATTTTTAGTGATTCTGCCAGTTCAGTCAGTACGAGTCCAGAACTTTACTAAAAACTGGTGGCAAAGAGCAGCGAAGGCTCCTCACTCCCTCGCGGGTTAGCCATTACGGCATGCCTGCAGGAGGCAGGCTGTGGAAATCAGACCTTTCGGCTCCTGTGCTCCTGCAAAGGCACGCTTGATCTTGTTTCTCACGTTCATTGCAAGACCTCAGGGTGCTTTACAGCACTGATACAACTTGCCCTGTGGTTCTCGTAAACTTACTCCTCTCTAGATTAGTAAGAGCAACAGCTGGCAGCTGTCTTGGTGCATTCGTCTTATTTTGTGTTTAACTGAGATCAGAAAATTATCAGCAATTATGTTAGAGGATGTCCTGGGTTTTGCGTGTAAATTCTTCTGCATTTGATTGCAATATTTGGATATTTGAATGTTTTGAGATATCCCCACTCTGGATCTTGCTCTGCAATTCCCCCTGGGGACATCGGGCAGAGGTGGGCGGCTGAAGAGGGAGATGAGCACACGCAGCGTGGGCGTAATCTGCAGGGCCATCCTCCGCAAGGCCGGCGATAACAATTGAAGCAAGAGAAGGTGTCGCTGAGGGGAGAGAGTTGTCTGAGGGTGATTAAATAGCAGTAGTATTATCACGGCAGAGCATTCCTCATGCACCAGTGCTGGGCAGCTACGTTAAAATTTCCCGGTGTGTCTGCTTCAAAGAATAATTGTACTTTCTTAAATAATAAATTACAGACATATTTGTCATTTCCTGCTCTTGGAGGCTGTAGTTTAGTTAAAGCAAAGTGTTGCAAGCTGGTAGGAAATTAAAGAATAAAGCCAGGACTTAGATTCCACTTTTACAATTTCCAAAACTTAATACGCCTAAAATTTTCAGAGTTAGAGCAGACATATGTGCCACCTTATCCACAGGCATTCCCTTTGAGAGGGAGGCAGTCCCCGTGGAGAATACAGGCCTGTGGGGAAAGTTACCCCTGATCTCACAGAGGTGCCATTCAATCGGTTACCGGATTTACAGCCAGGGGTGCTTTTATAGCGAGCAAACAGGCCTGTTGCTCGCTTCTGCCTTTTAAAATGAGAAGCTCTGGCAGCCTGCTTTTGGAACAGAATTAAAAAAGACCTGTGTTAATACTAAAAATCACCTTTGGTGTCACCTTTGGTGACATTTCACAGGTTCATGACAAAGATTCATCATCTGCCCAAGGGTGGACATTCTGCTACGGGTCTATGAATTGTAACTATGAGAGCAGCAAGAGAGGAAGGCAGGTCTGGTGGGGTTTCGCAGAGGACATAGCTTCAGTATCGGTCCTGTGACCAGGGAAACACCAGCGATCAAGTTGACCAGCTCCTTGCATTGTTCAGGCCAGGACCTCCGTGTCTCACTACCCTGCGGGCAGCTGGAGCACTGGGATGGAGGAACTTGGCTGAGAGGTCCATGTGAGGACAGAGACAGTCACTCTCCACGTCACATTGTGGCACGTGGCCGAGGATCATGCTTCTCCCACCAGGCATGTTCTTGAGGAGTTCCTGCAGCTGCCCCCAGTGCAGCCCTGATCCTGGGCAAGCGGTGAGCTCCTTCTACCAAACCACTGTCATCTTTTGGCTGCTCTGGCTTTTGTGATAGTGCAAGAGTAACTCTCAGAAAATGAATTGGAATTCCATAAAGATTTCGGTGATGACGAACCCTCCTGTGCAGGCATCACTCTGATCCTCACGTCTACACAGACCTTAATCCTACAGTCATGGAGGATCAATGTTCAGGTTAAACTGTGGGCAGCAAAATAGGAAGGAGTCCTGATGGTCTCTGCCTTATCCCTGGGTATATCTGGGTCACAGTCGCTTTCCTCATGTGTTCATAGAGTGACCTCTGATTAAAAGCACTCTCACTGGGGAGAGCTTGGAGCACAGCCATGCAGCGGGCGATGTAAGAGGCAGCACTTTGGGGAGGAGACAAGAACATTATATAAATGTGTATTTGACAACAGCATCTTTATTTTCAAAGTGATTTTTCTATGGGAAAACTGCAAGTTTTTTAAAATGCATGTAGCAAGGGATGATGAATACAGCCTCCCGTGATACCTCCATCCATTTAAGCTGTATAAATGGAATATCACCTTTTCCTGTGCCCTGACTGAAGGACCGCTGCCCATGCCATCAGTGGCACTTTTAATGGCAGACTGCTCTGCACTGCATCTGTGTAGCCAGAGTTAGCTCCGGGTTTTCGGTGGACATGTATGGCATTTATCAAAGGGAGAATATACAAAGAGCACTCTGCACTTATTCCTTATTATAAAGCGATAGTCGATAGTCTTCACTGGGTCTCAAATGAGTCCCCTCTTGTATCTCCTCTTAAAGTGAGGTACCGAGAGAAGCGAATTACCCAGCCACCCAGCCAGCGGGCAGGAGGGCTGAGGAGGGAGCTGTGGTACTGAACACAATCTTAAATTAAATCCCGGATAAGGTGTTGGCCTCCGCAGAGGGGATGATAATACAAGATCACCAAAGCCAGCCAGGCTTGCAGACCAAGAAGCATGAAGTGCTTTGTGCCTGCCCTTTGGGAAAGCCTAAGGTTTCTCCTGCTTCGTGTGACAGCTCACACGCAGAGGGGCTTAAATTCAGACCCCACTGCAAAGCACAAGGGGTGGGTCAGAGCCCCTCTGCGAGTGCCACTGCAGCCACCAGGACAGTGGGGACACCAGAGGATACAGCAGCAGCTATCTGACCCCAACCCTACGGCTTCTCCAGCACTACTGGTTCATTCCCACCTGACCCCAGGACATGGTGGCAGAGCCACAGCCCCAGTAGAGTGGGGTCTATTTGTAGTGACTGTATCAACTCCTCCAGGCTGTAGAGTATACACAGAGAGGAGAGACCTATCCCCATGTGAAGGCACAGACGAAACCCCCACCGTAACCACAGCACACGTGAGAGCCTAGCTCCCACCCCAAACCCAACACCTGCCGGCAGTCAGGTTCCCCTGCCCAGCAGCACAGCCCAGCCACGCCGTGCCTCCCAAGAGAGGCTCCAAGTTTGGTGCATGCTCCTGTGTGACATTTAGGGGGGCTGGGTGGTGTGATTGCACCGGCATTGCTACTTTGGTACAGATAACCGTAGGCTGGACGTACTCCAATGCACGCGTGACCCAAGTATCATTAGATCCCTAGAAGGGCTTTCCTCTTAGCAGGACAACCACATCTGGGAAGCATCCTCTGTAGCAGTCGGTAGCGTTGCTGTGAAACGCAGACACATCTTGCCGAGGAATCTGACGTATACATATCAGCCTTCTCAGCGCAAGCGTGCAAGGCTATTTGGGCAGAGAACACTATCTGACCTCTCTGAGGTATCGGCCAACTTTCCATGCACGGCTGCCAGCAGTCAGTGGTGATGTGTACGGCTGCTGTAGTTTATCAGGGTGGCAGAGAGATTTACCTCTGCTTCATGTGC